CACTAGCACCTCCATCGACTGATTCAGACTTTGGCTGCTGCATATGCTGCCCTTCATCCTTGGGTCACACATCATGGCCAGCATATGTACTATACTGAACCACAAGGGATCAAGCCATTTCCTGATGCCCTCCTTCAGCCACCTCACCAGTGCCTGCAAGTCTGGTGACAGTGGCTTGCCCCAGCAAGGAACACTGATCCCTTGGAACTCCTCCATTTGGTTCTCAAGTTCCCTCACTACATGAATCACCTGGCTAAGGAGGGCATCGCCAGCACTGAGGGTCTTGGTGGCCTCAAGGAAGGGGTTGAGGACCACCAACATCTGGGAGATGGTATCCCACTCATCTCTGTTAAGGCGGCCACTGATCCTAATCTCCCCAAGCAAGGCCATCTCATGGATGGCCTTCTGTTGCTCCACCAGCCTCTTGAGTATCAGGTATGTGGAGTTCCACTGAGTTTCCACATCCTGCATGATTTTGTGCTGTGGGATGCTCAGCTCTGTCTGTTTGTCCCACAGCATCTTGGCCCCCTTGATGCTGCAGTGGAAGTAGCCTGCCACCTTCCTGCATTTCAAAATGAGCTTGCTAATGGTGCTGGTGCCATTACCAGCAGCCCTGTCCCTTTCCAAGACATCCCTGACAATGAAGTAGAAATTGTGTGCCACACAGCGGATGCCAACCAAGTTGGCATCATGGACCACCTTGAACATATTGGCCCCATTGTTGGTGACCATGAACTCACGGGTGAGCTCTCCCTGCCCAACAAGCCATCCTTGCACAAAGTGGTTCATGGCCCCCATGATCTCTGCTGCCATGTGGGACTCATCTATCACCTCAACTTGAATGAGAGCCCACCAATGGCCTGACTGGTTGCACCAGTGACCTGTGAGGGAGATGTATGCATGATCTCCACCCTGGCTACTCCAGATGTCCAAGGTGAAATGTAAAACCAGCTGCCTTGAGCATCTCCTCCCTCAAGTACTCCCTGCATGCCTCATACAGGGTGGACACCACTATCATGTGGGGGTACATGCAGGCTCTTGGTATGATGGGGCCACAAGTGCCATGAGCTGCCTGAACCCTGCCTGCTCAACTAAGGAGAAGGGCTGGCCATCCACTGCAAGCATCTCCCCAATGCTCTGGGTGATCTTGCTCGCCCTTGCAACGTGCCCCCCTTTCTGTCCGCCTTTCCCCCATTCTTCCAGGGTGGTCTCCCTCTGCTTTGGGGGAACAGGGGCTTTGGAGCAAGTGGGGGACTTCTCCTTAGGCACACTCCCACTGGTTTTAGGCTGAAGAGCAAGAGTAAGGGGGTGGTGCCTGCAGAGATCCATCAGCATCCCCATGGTGCTCATGTGCTGTGTTCCCTTGCCCCAGCTGGTTTTGGCTCAGCAATGCAGGCAGACAGCACATGTCGAATCATCTGCCAGCTCAAAATGATCCCAGACCACACTACCCACTGTCTTCTGGGGTGCGGGTGTATGTGTGGATGCTGCAGTTGCCCCCTCAGCAGGCAGAGGCACAGCAGCAGGAGGAGTGGACTCAGCTGAGCCACTTGCCTCCACACCCTCTATCTCAGCCTCTTCTGAAGTGCCTTCTGGGGAAGGAGACCTGGCTCTAAGGGAACTTGAGGGGTGTGGAGCACAAACTCAGTTGATTCCCTCTCGTTCCCCAGACTTTCCTTTGATATGGCACTTGGATCCAGATCTAGCTCTTCCTCTGACACTGAAAGGCTCAGCATTGAAAGTGAAATGGAGGTGGAGGAGACTGTCATGGTGCTGGTGTTGCTTGTTGTCATGATGGTGATGTGGGGGTTATGGCTGGTGCTCTTGCAGGGGATGCAGACTCAGACACAGGCAGTGGCACTGGCATTGCTCCCCTCTCCTTGCTGCCTGTGCAACTAATGGAAGCCTCATGCCTGCTTGTTGTAGTAAAGAGGCTGAATCTCTGTTTGGGGGCAAGGGGAACTTAAAGCTCTCCCTCCACCCCCTCTTACACCCCTCCCTGAAGGCTTGCTAGCTGCCTTTCCAGCATGCTTCGTGGTGTGTTTCATAGTGTCTTGTCTTTGCCTTCGTGTGCTAGAAAATCTGTCTCTTCTTCTGTAATGTTATCTATCTGATTAATGTAATATATGTAGATAAATGTATGTATGTGTATTTTTGTAATGTATGTATGTATGTTTGTATATATGTATTTATGTAATAAATATAATAAAATATTTAAATGTATGTATGTGTTTTCCTATATAATATGCAATATAAGTATGCTGTGCTACCCTGCACAGTGTATGGAAAGCACACTGTAAGAGAAAGCACAGATTTGAAAAGAATCAAAATAGATTAAACAAAAAGGATTTTTGGGGAGGAATACATTTAAAGGAATCAATCAATGAATATAATAATAAAAGAGTATAGAAACTAAAGCAAAAGGTATTGCTGAATCTCACTTACTAGGCTAGCAAGTAGGAAATGAATGGTAACCTTTGTTGTCTAAAGCTGCTCAGCTCCTGGAAGACAGCTCAGTAACTGACTCCAAGGCAGAAAGCTGCTGATTTCAAACAATGCTGCTTTTTATGCTGTTTTTTCTATCCCTCCCCCAAAGCACTGAGATTGGAAGGGACCTTGGGGAAGGATCACAATCACTGGCCAGCTACACAGTCAATATTAGAGCAGTCCTTCCCTGCTCTTCCCCCTCCCTCTCCTTGCCTGTTTCCCTTCCCAGCTTCAGCTTCGAAACTTGAAATGTTTTGAAACTTTCAAAACATTTTGATTGCCCTCATTTCATTTTGAGGCTGTTTTGAAGCCCTTCATTTCATTTTGATTTTGCTGTTTTGAGCTCAAAACGACTTGAAACAGCATCAAAACAAACCAGCCAGTGAAATTTCGCATAGTTCTACTCTCTAATATCTCCCACCCCTTCCAAAAGTGGGTGGATACAGCAGCTGTGGGGAGAATGATATCTATCATGTGCTGACACCAGTGTTATGGCAGTGATATGGCACAGTGCTTTCTGCCTTTTCATCCCCTTGCACAGGGGTGAAAGCTAGGCCAGCTCTAACTTATATTTGTTTCCTTTTATATATAAAAAGATACTACTGACTATATTCCCTTCTCTTTTGCCAGCGATGGATACATTGTATAGGTTGCTTGGGAAAAGTAACATGCTGCTACTGTCCAGAATGCCATTTTACATAAAGTGTTACTCATTTTCTTCATCCATTTATGGGACTATCCCATAAAAACACTGCACTTCCTATAACTTCAAAATTCATCATTTTCATGAGTAGCATTTATTTCTTATATCCTTGAACCTGAGGACTTAAGTGTGTGACTTCAAGCACCTGAGAAGTTTACTCAGGGCAACAGGGGCACTCAAATGCTTAAAGGTTTTGTATGTGTTTTAGTATCTTGCCAGACTGGGTTCTACACTATTATATTTTTGAATGGACTCATTAACATTACTTTCTACTCTTTACTCTCCATCTCACTCTCTTTCACTCACAAAAAAAGAGTGAAAACTTTCTGCTATATTATCCAGTAATATACTTTACACGTAAAATTAATGTGTAACATTAATGTGTAATGTGTAATGTTACACATTAATTTTAGGTGGCTCCTTGAGCTCTTAACCCTTGGATTGCCCATACATTAACACCTGAAACTAGTTTTAAGGACTCTTTAGGTGGCTTAAAACAGTGCCACTCCAAGGCAGGTTTATCTCTGACCTGTATTACCCAGCTCATATTCCATCAATGTGTTGCCACTCCTCAGAGATGAGCCACTCAAGTTGCTGTCCCCCAGCATACCGAGATGCAGTGTTCCCTCACCCACCCTCTTGTTCTGTGTGGACAAACTTTTCACTCCTTGAACTCTACTGCTGGGGGCAGGTCTGGCACCAAGCCAACTTCTCCCTCCTGCCTCTAGGGGTGGGTTCTCCTTCCCACCCCCAGGGGTGCAATCCCTTGCAAACAGCCTGCAGAGCACATGCCAGTTAGCCAGGTCACAGGTCCAGGAGTGGGTTCTAGGGGGCAAGGGGGAAGGGAGAACAAGGTAAATGGCTTGATTGGGTCCCCATAAGCTGGGGCTTCCTTGCCAGGACAGAGGCAGTGGCTCCCCCAAAAGTAACTTCCCTCACTGCTCCCACCTCTCAACCACCCTGGAAAGCATTACGAGCACCCCTATACCTCTATTCCAAATCCTAATTTACACAGATTCATAGAAGTTTAGGATTGGAAGCACCCTCGTGAGATTTATTAAAACATAAGACATCCTTTAAATTTACTTCCTCTATTTTTTTTAAATTATTTTTCTAAACTTCTCTTTATTTTATCCTTCAGTGGCTGACTTTTCATTTCACCACTCTTCCCCTACCCCAACTTCCTTTCCACCTCCTGTTTTCATTATCCATCCCCAGCCCATTATCCATCCCTCTGCCTCCTAGCTGCATGTTGCTACCCGCAACCCATCTCTCACCACCCCCCACCCCCCCACACACACACACCTAGAGCAGAAATAGATGCCTCTCCTGATTCACTAGCTCTGTAGTGGCAACACACAACTGTAGCTCCTAGTCAGACCCTTGCTTGTCAGCTTTTTAGTCGCAAGTCACAGCTATGCAGGTCAGGGACAGTCAGAGAGGTGCCTTTTAGCCTTAAGGTGGAACTGCCCAAACTCAAGCTAGCACTAACACTGATCAACATCTGAGCAACTCAAAGTACAACATGTAACAAGGCCCTAAGAAACAAAACAGGTAACCTTCCAAACACCATGA